TTTCCATAACTTCGCATTTAGTTTATTTATTTTTATCTTATATTTTAGCAAACTGGATCAAGATGGTACTTGAAAAAGGTAATTTCTCAATTTTATCTATAGTTACTTAATGTCAATGGTAAAACTAACGAAATATTACGAGAAACTGCTGAAAACGGGATTTTAATTTATAACGCTATGTTTATAACAATGGAAACGAAATTATTCAACTTATAGGCTATAATAAATAATAATATAAAATATCCAGACTGACAAACCATCTCCATTCAGATATATTTTTCTTAATCAATTATATTATATCATTGAGTTCAAATTTAATACCATCCACTATACATTGACCCACTTGTAACCTACTGTACAGCCGAGCAACATCCATTTACCCGCTTTTTTAAGATTAAAATATGTAAATGTAAAATGTATGCATAGTCAAGCTAATAATTATTTTTATCTAAATAAAAAATGTTTAGAATTCAGAACAAGTCAATGGTGAGAAAATGGAAACATTTGCTGAATGGAAGAGGAACGTCGGTCCGCAAAGTTAGTATGTGTCGATTTGTTTGGATTCACTTAACCAGTTATCCATTGAATGGATGTCGTTTTGTACATTTGACGAAGCAGTGTGAGTGTTATCGTTGATAGAAACAAACACTTTTTTATTTGCATATTTAATGTACAAATGGTATTAGTTAGTGATGTTAATTAGGTTAGCTTCTATAAAGGAGTGTAAAACACTGACGAATTTAAAACAAAAATATTGGTAGTAGTTAAGTTTCTATAACTCTACTGGCTACTGCTATTTTTAAGATTAAAATATATAAATGTATGCACAATCAAGTTAATAATTTTTTTTATACCTACATTTTTAGAATTTAGATTCAAGTGCATGCTGTAAAGAATATAAGAGAAACAAATGTTACCTGGAAGAGGAGGTAAACATGGACACCAAAACACTTATTAATTAGGGAAAGCCATAATATTTTATGTTATTATCATGATTTAAAATATGCAGTAAACCTCAAGGTGACACGTCTTCATTGATATTCTAAGTGTTCGGACTTTTGTTACCTTGTTACCTACTAACGAAAATGCTCACGTATTGACAGTATTGGTCAATTCTTTAACGACTTTTTCCTTAATCATGTATCGTGTAGCACTATTTTTCCTTATTCAAAAACACGTAGCCCAATATTTGACATTGAATGTTCATATAAATATGGGTGTTTTATACACTGTAATTTAGACTTAAGTTATCACTGTAAGTACTCACTATGGACACGCGGACTCCTACGGAGTGTTTATTGTCGTCGTGCCCGTGCTTTTAATCAAATAAGTAATAACTAATTTAACTTTTATTATTTTATTAATCAATATCATTATACCATTCTTTAAGGAAATTCAAAGTGTTGTGTTATATTATTTAAAACAACCTTTTCCTTTCAAACATACGTCGTAAACAACGAAGGCTGCACCGTCGTAAAAGAAACGTTGTTCACAGCAGTGACAGGGCTATGCACTACAAAATATAGTATGGTTGCCCGACGACCTATGATAAGATCGTTTTAAACTGGCAACCAAACTAAACAACCAGAACACCTGGAATATCCACCACTAGGGCTTGCGATATGATGTGTGCCGATATAGAAGTAAAATTTACGGGCTTATAGCCAGCGTGGTATAAAGCCACTATTACATACAAGCTCTAGTGGTGAATTTGTCAGCTGATTTTCATAGTTATTTCGGTAGACACTTTATCATGATTCGTTGGGCAACCATACTATCTTAAATTTTGGTTATTATTAACATTCAATAATCGATAGCTATTATAATTTATAATTTATCATATTAATTTCTTATCAAATAAATCTTTTGATATTATATAGTTATAGTATATAAACTTCATAATCATATTTAACACGATGTAATTTTATTACCATTTACCCATTTTAATATTATTTTAGTATTATTCTATTGAACATGATATAGTAAATAGTAAATACAAAACACAAATCATTAAATCTGTATAATATATACCTATATATCAATGGATATGAATTTTTATTTTTTATTAAAAATGTTGCACTTTTACTTCAGTGCAAATTATGAGTGTTATCATTTTACTAATATTTTTTTTTTAATTGATCACTATGGCCATTAGCTGTATGGTGTTTTTGAACGTTGCATTGTCGGTAGGGAGGGAACATGTGTGTGTTGGGTTTTTGGCAAAATTTTCAATTTGGGCACCCGTAAGTATCTGCCATGGCCGGGGGGGGGATGGTGGCCCTTGTTCTCCGGACAAAAAATGCCGCCCAGTGGCAGGGAATCGATTCCAGCGTCGGTAGCGTCGCAACTAACGCCTTAGACCGCTCGGCCACCTCGCTCCCCACTATTTTTTTTGTAATTTATTGTTTAAGTCATTTCCACAATTTTACCCAAAGTACATGTTATTACTAATTACATTGTATCTATTTTTAACACAAGACTACTAATCACATTTAATTCATATTTAAATAATAAATATTTAATTTAAAATAAATTAAAAATAAGTTTAATAACAAGATTATTATTATAGCTTCTTTATTATACGTGTTTTGTTTGACTCTGGTCTTTGACGTTATACTTGTTACAATGTAAATAAAAATGAAACCGTAATTTTGTAAAATATTTTAATATATGTTTTAAACTTGAAGTCGTTGAAGATATAAAATATCACAAAGTAATAACTATTTTTAATCTAACAGACTCTTATTAGTTGTTACTTATTACTTATTATTAACTTCTTAATAAGAATAACTACTTATTCGTTATCTGAAGCTGGTTTTAACTTTTAAGTACATATCCGTTGATAACATAGTCAAATGTTTTTTGCTGCAAAAGAAGTAAGAGAAATATATGCTACCTACCTGGAACAGGAATGTGAAGGGCCGGCGATAAGGATTTTGCCGCCCCGCGCTGGTAAAAAAAATTCCACCCTTTCAAAAAATTGTTGCAATATAATTAATAGGTAAATAGGTATTTATACAAAATTAAAAAAATTAATTATAAGCTGGGTTATATTGTAGAAGATATGTTGATAACATAGTAGAATGTTTTTTTGTGAGCTGGTCTTACAAAAATGGACCAAAGATGAATTTCAGTTTGTTGAGCACGCAAAAAGGAAACCTAAATGTATATTTGTTTTACTTTGTAAGGGAAATTAATTTATAGAAAATGTATATAACGAATATGTATAGTTCACACATGTTGGTGATTGTAATTAGTCTAAATCATAATACCTATGTTATCACTTACTAGTTTACTCGATTAAATTAATTATATTTTAATCATTTATAATCATTTATAAATAAATATTGTATCAACTTTTTTTTCTTTATTAATAAAATACACAATCAGTACACAATAAGGCACAATAAGAGTATGGACTATAATACAAAAGGAAGAAAATCTTGAATGAAGAAGCCACCCACTGATGACACTTCCGTCTTTTCATTGTATCGACTTAAATGTATTAATATTTGATTTTTTACCTCGTGAACTTGACGCGTGATGTTCTAATTAAATATCTTAGGTTTTAAATTAAAGTTTCAGGTTTGACGGATCAGGTAAGTGCAATAATTCTACAAGTTATAGGGATTTAATTGCACGTTACACTTTATTTTTTTTTTTTATATAAATTTCAATTAAATCAGTTTAGTATATATCAATAAGTGTACAAGTAATATACTTAGTTTGCAGATTCGTGTTATAAAGATCAGATCCAAGTTAATCACGTTCGCAGTTTACGTAATACGTTTATTAAAGTTATATCAATTATTTCTTCATGTTTTAATAAATTATAGACAGAAATCTTACGGATCAAAAAATACAACGTCGCTATTCCATATGATTCCACTTGTCGTTTACAAGTCAGTACTCAATATCCGTCCTTTAGCAAGAAAAGTGTAACGGTTGGATTGATGGTTAATAAAATTATTTCTGCTGTCATATATGTCTTATATAACTGTTACATAGAGATATATGGACAATTATTTCTGACCTTATACAATATTATAAGACGTAATAAATAATATATTGATAACAAATGTTTAATGCACTGGTAAAGTTCAATATTATATTTTCACTGTTCATTTTCAATAATATACACACCAAAGTTCAATATTAATCTCAGTGCTGAAATTTGTACACTATTATTGGTTCAGTGATTGATAGAGTAACATCCAAAAACTTATTGGGCTTTCTTTTCAGTTTTGATTTGATTATACCCGCCGCGGAATAATGTGATGATTGGTCGCGCATTCAAAACAATTTCCTCCAACTTCCTCGTCCTAGAGATCACTACCACTATGGAACGCTCGTGCGATAACTGAGTCGTGTACGAACTTATAAAACAATACAGTGTATGCGGTTGATATCTGCTACAGAGCAGTATAATCGTTAATAGATGTTTCGGTGAACCAACAAAAAACCGTCTGCTCTAAACAAACGCAAAAATGTCCGCCTCCCAGTCATGATCTTATTCCGCGGCGGGGTTAAATATTAATTGCATAATCAATGTTCAACGTAGTAAGTGGAGTTATTTATTGATTTATTTGATATATATATGTAATGACCTTGCACTATACAATATTACAATAAATAATAAATACAATTTTGACATAGAAAACTAGGATAATAATATCAGTGATTGTCGGAGCAAGACTGGCCGGTCAAGGTTGGCTAGCCTGTAGTGCTGCGCCGGTGTTGTGACTTGTGGGATCAGCCATCGTTTGAGCAGTAAAGACGCTTACTTCTTGTGGAACTTCTTTTGGTCATAGGCTCAAATAGGGGGGATTTAGGGGATAAGGCAGCTCCTATAAAAATATGTTTATTATTCTTTATCGCTAGGTTAATTGACCCACTTGGCTTTCTCAGTCCGATAGTTTTTACGCTAAACATTTTATGCAATGTATATGGTTGTCCAAGGTCGCTTGGGACGATCCATTTCCCAGTGGTATTGATGGAAAATGGTGACAATTATTGGAGGAATTACCAAGGGTGTCTGTTGTTATTCCTATACCTCGATTTTGTTGTACGTTTCCGACACTGTCTTGTCAGAATTTTTATTACGGTTGATATCAGATTTGATTAAGGACATTCCAACTTTAGCTCCCGATTACATTCTTGAAGTTAAGCTCGTTTCTCTGCCAGTACAGGCACCGGCACCCGTTGTCGAATGGATTAATCGATATTCGTCGTATGACAAAGTGCTCATTATTATTGCCGGGATTGACGATTAATAGGTCATCAGAGATTGTCGGAGAAAGACCAGGCCACCAATAATAAATTTATGAGTGCATTAAATATATTTTATATTCTGAGCGGAGCGAATGAATGTATTAGTTTTACAATGATGTGTGTGTTTTTTTTTTTGCTATCTGTCAGCAACATTTCGGATAGTAAGCATGATTCGATTTTTGAGATCATTATCTTTTCTGATAGAAAACTGAACCTAGTTAATACTTTTGGAGGTCAAAATTGAAAATTCTAAGCAGTTTTAGAAAGCGTCGAGATAAACTATCGACAAATTACGAAAAACCACTAAAAATATGATTTTAATTTCCAACAATTTGCTTATCGCATAGCACGAATATAAAATAATAATATTATAAGGACTACGCAACCGCTCAGAATCGTTTTTCGAATACAATAGTTTATCATTATATTCAAATATAACACATATCTATTACAACTACTGTACAGCAGAGTGGTACCCACTTTTAATATATTATTAATTACTTATAATATTGTATGAGTTAAGAAATTGTCCATATACCTTAATATAATATTTATATAAGACATAATGTTACTAGTTATTCTAGAGTTCTTGTAGAACCTTGCTTTAGCAGTTTAGCCTCGCGATTATATAATGTATATAAAATATACTAATAATGAGAATAAATCACAATAAGGAATTCATATATAATCTAAATAGACATATGTAGCCATAGAATGTGGTTCCTATATAGTCAAATAGAAGACGAGTGGAAGTTACGAGAGGTTCAATAGAACACAAGACGAAGAGTTAAAAATGCTTCAATAGATGTTCAGTTAGTCACGAATTCACGATCACACAGTATAATAGTACAATAATGATATGTAGACATATTTTTTAAAAATTTTCTTTTAAGCATTCATTAATTAATTGCCTATCTTATTCGTTTATGTATAATAATATGTAGGTAACTTAACAATCCTTACCATCACAAGTCCATCACCACTGCTCGAATCCTTTTAACTTTTTCGTAAATGCAATGATTTATTATCGAATTAAAAATTAACACATTACTGCAATAGTAGGTACCTATTATACAGTCTGTGGTTACATATCTAATTACCTACCTTTTTAAAATTATTTAATTGGTTTTGACACGTTTATAAACTCGACGGTGTGTATATTTCATTACACACTTGAATAAACATATCAACATTTTTAATCTCTACTTTTTCAAATTATTTAAATCTTTAAAAACAAACAACAATACCTAGTTAATAAAATGCAATAAATTTAAAATCATATTTAATTTGAACATTTTAAACACATGCCATGAATTATGAATTATCACTTACCAATACAGACGAAAATTTTATATGAAAATGTGCGTTAGAATGTAAGTACCAGAGACGGAAATTGTATGCAGTAGCACACTATCACACACTTTTGTAGTACAAAGTTAAGTGTACAATACGAAATTTAAAAATGTTTAGTACCTAGTTGTTATAACTAAAAATTGGTACCTAATGACTAATAACCTAATTATGATGTTTTTTTTTATTAAATATTATTATTACTCTGATTGCACGAATTAGGAAATTGAAAGAAAGAGAACTAAATAAGAAATTTAAAAAACCTCATTTCCTACTAAACATTTATTTAACACGAACCCGAGGGGGGTGGGGTTGCCCCACTCCTTCTCTTAATTACTACCACCATATTTTAAATTAAATCGTAATAAAATGTATTACATTTAACTATAAGTGTCAATATTTTACTCTTTTCATCATTTCAAACTTTCAAATTTTTCCTGAATGAAAACATATGCTTTGAATACAACGAATTTCTTTTAAGTGTAAAAAATCTAGGTTTAAATATTTTAAATTTAGGTTTAAGTTATTTGTTACAGTAAATGTACTTTCAGATTTACATGAAGAAATAGCTTCTATAATAACTTCAGTTTATAGGGGCTTTAGATCAAAAATAATACAGTGATCTTTAATTTCTTCGAACCTACGGAAACCGTATTGATAATGTACTGATGATATTTTGTCAACTTGAAATTGTTTAGCTAAACGTCATATATTGGCATCACCATGTTAAAGTCAAATTTATCAGGCCATATGTCTTAGGATCTAGCATGTATAAGTCGGCAAGTAGAATATTATATTGATCTTCGAATAGATTGTGGAACATTAAATTTGGTATCTAACGATTAACAGTTTTTGATAAGTAAAAATTCTCGATTATGAGTTAGGTACCTATTTAATATTTTATAAAATTGAATGTATAAAAAAAAATATTTCGTTTACATTTAATACCGGGTACCCGTGCGTTATTTTAGGAAAATGTAGTTTGGAAAAGCTTATTAAAATCGAAATCCCGTTTAGGAGTAGAGTTTCTATGCACCCCCCGCCTTCCACAATTCAAGCACAGACTACTGTTGATTTTAATTTATAACGTAACGTGTTATTCTAACTTATAACTAATAATCTCAATAGTATCCGGGTAAAGGTTAAATAAATTAAATTGGCTATACGCGTATACTATTAATGTATTAGAATTATATGTTTATCTACCTCGATGTTTGGAATCCAGTGCCGGAATAAACATTTGTGGGCCCATATAGGCAGTTAACAGTTTGGGGCGTCTTAGAAAATGATTACCTACTTGGCTATAATAATTAATATAAGCAGTTTTAATCATAAGTAATACCCAAATTATTTTAATAAATAAAACAATGTTTGACAAATTATTTTACTAAAATGTATATTCATTTACAGAAAAAATGAATCAATGTATTTATTTTTCAACCAATTAAAAAAAAAATTATTCTTAACAACCATAAAAAATAAATTATCTTAAAGTAAATTGTAAGGCTTAGCTTAAAAATTTGAATTTCAAATATTTACGGCGGTCGATGAATGCTTGCAAATCACGACGGCAATGTTTCGTTGCCAAAAAATATTATTTTCAAGTAGGTACTTATTTATAATTCGACAAAATCAAAAAAATATTTTCGTCTGCACACAATAATATTATACAGTATGATATTTATATTGGCTTTTGTTCTGTTGCTCTGTAAACGAATAATGGATTATTAATTAGAATTGTATTGCCTATACCTACTTCGTCTATTATGCGTAATCCAATACTGTTCGGAACCAACAATCGATTTACACCATTTAAATAATTGATTTTCCTAATACCCTCTCAGCGTTTGGTGGTAATTTAAATGACGGTTAATAAAGATAATACAGATGGGATCATATTAAAACCTAAGGTCCAGTACTAATTACAAACATGTAAACATTAAAACTATAATATCTAATAAATGGAGTATGTCAAGTGCACAATAGCAGTATACTGTCCTGTTCATCTATGGCTGATTTTATAAAATATCTGCGACCTAAATTTATCCCCGAAAATATAGTAGGGTATTATAAAAAAAGAGGGTAAGTGGGTGTCGCTCTGCTGTACAGTAGGTTATAAGTAGGTCACTGTAGTTTATGGTGTTAAATTTCAATTTAAGGATTTAGTATTCATTGTATACGAAAAATGATTCTGAGTAGAGACTGTGTGTCAACTAGGATATTTTATATTATATTTATTTTGTTATTATCAATAAATTAAACTCTCAGTTGAATTGATTTAGAAAAAATAACTAAAAAAATTGAAAATTGAAAATGTACGTAAACCACTCATAACAAGTCAAACCATTTTAAAAATGTTATCAAGTATAGTATCTACCTAAATGATAAAATAAACATTTGGAGAAAATGTACATTAAGGTAAGGTTAATGTTAGGTTAAGTCTTAGGTTAAGTATATATACCTACTGTTATTAGTTTTTGAATAGTTAACAACAAAATAAGAAGATCGTTGTACGAAAATTTGTTAACACTCCAAACACTGCACTGTACAGTAACCTGTAACCTATTGTACAGCAGAGGGACATCTACTTCCCCACCTTTTATATTATTAGTTTGTTATAATAATGAAAAATAAAATTTTTAAATTAGTAAGAAATATGTTATAAATAAATTGTTTAAAATAAATTTAAAATTTATGTTTTCAATAGGTATACCGACCAACCGACCTATTACATCATCATGCGGTTTAATTTAATTTTTTCTGTATGAATGTTTACACAGATAATAATAATATATTAAATATTTAAGTCTTACATAACTAATTCAGTAGGTATAATAATTAATTGCAATTTAAGCAGGTGTATCTATCAAAACATAATTCAAAATTGTTTGAACTTGATTACCTAATCATTGTTACAAATCGTATAAAAGTAATATAACATTAAATAAAAAATTCTAATATCTATCAGAACATCAATAAAATTAAACATGAATTTCAAATTCATCGTTGCTGTGGCAATTTTCACTATCGTTAGTATGTTAGTAAGTATCTAAATGTTATATACTTATATTGTAATTTATGGTTATATAATTTAAGTTAACAGTTTTGTATATGTTATATGTTTTATTTATGTTAGCTAAAATAATGAATTAGGAAAATTCAAATGTTACAAAACATAATTAAAAAATCGGGTAAGTGGATGTCGTTTTGCTGTACAGTAGGTTACAAATTGGTCACTGCTTAATGGATAGTATTATATTTGAATTCAATGATATAATATCCTTGTATACAGAAAACGATTCTGAGCTGAGACGGTTTGTCAGTGTGGATATATTTTAATATTATATTTATATTGTTATTATTTACTATCAGAACGGTAGCTGGTAAGTTTAATTAATATTATAAAATTAAAACAAAATAACTAATATAGTTATTCTTTGTTGATTAATATGTAATTTCGTTCAAATTTTAACTTAAAATAACTCTAAAATAAAAGGTAATTATACATATATTTTTTAAATTTTTTTATTACCTACCTACTTACTTAAGAAGTGTCCTGTGGCGTTACATACTATTATTCTTAAAATGAGAACCTCTTTTTTCGCTCTAAATTATTTAGCAGGCAAATTCCTTGAAAATGTGGATGTATCTA